CTATTTTATCAATCAAACATCTACAAGACTAAGTCGTATGATTGTGAGATTATTTTTAAAAAAAAAATAATAAGTCAATAAAATGAATCACAACGAATTATTTGTTCTAACCATATGACTTGTCATAGTTGATCGTAGCGATAAACAAATGACAATGAAATTTTCTATTGGTCATTTTATTATGACCAATAATAGAGTAAGATTAATTATAGTTTTTCAATCTGCCAAAAAGTGTTTTTGTGTCCAAGAATCTTGTCATGTTTAATTGACATTCTATTTTACACTGTGCTCATGTAAACAAAGTGTCAAACAGATACTTACTTTGAATAATTTACACTTTGCTTTTCATCGTATACAAGCTCCTAACTTTTGAAGTTTGTAATATATTCAATATCCTGACATCTACTAGTTAATCTTTGGATTTATTGAAATGTTTGTCTATCTTTCAAAATTTGTTACTCTTTCATATTTGACACAGCTCTTTAGGCAACCTATGTGAATGCTAGGTACGTGTTTACTTTACATAGTGCTCAATTTTTGTTTTTTATTTCATTTATGAAATATTAGATAAAAGAATTGTTCATCGGATGTTACTGAATACTAAAATGTTGTATATTTTCTATTGAATCTTATGTAAGTGAGTGTCTCGCTTAGGGATAGCACTTTCACTATAAATTGAAAGTAAAATAAAAATAAGAACATGTGAAAAAATCTAATTCAATTTTAAAGTTAAAATGCGATCGTAGACTTAATGTGTACACGGTATAAAAGAAGAGGCGTGAGATCGATGACTCAGGAGACCGATTGGAAGATATTTCTAGATTCGATAGGATATCGTAGATTCCAATCGTGTTTTTAGGAGAAATGAGAAAAAAACTGAGTAAAACACTGAAAATTTGCTTGTCAAAAAAGCAAAATTGGGATGTGAGCCTTTCCCCAATAGAAAAACTCTGATAAATTCATATGAAATATTTCTATTTTTTAATCTAAGTCTAACAATGAACATCTTCGAAACTTTTTGACACATTGTTTAAAAGAACAGATTGTCATTTTGTACTTTCATAGTAAAAATAAAATGTCATTTGACTTTTTATTTTAGATTTCTATTAGAAACACTAATATCAAATCTGAAATAGGATTTAAAATAAGTATTGTGTTTCGAATTTTATTAGAAACTACTGTAAAAGTAGAAAAATGCACATTGCTTATTTGTTGTGATATTATTAAGAAATTATTTGTTTTTCTTTAGGCAAAGCTTAGAAAGATGTTTTTTTTTTGGGCGTAATAAATTTGGAAATATGGTCTTATAATGAATGTATATACATGCGCGAACAAAACAAATAATAATAACTTTCATTTGATCATTTTTCTTTTTGTATGTCCAAGATCCATACGATAGTAACAATTAATTCAGTGAAGTATTTCTTAAATATAGTCAAATGAATATTTGTACAATTTTGTCACTTTATGCATATTATGTTTTGTATAGGAACATATTTATCATAACAACGTGTGAATAATTATTACCTTGTTATTTAGAAAAAAAGTATCAACAGGTACTGTGTCAATCGCCATAATGTTCCTGGCCAGGTAGTTCAGGAAACATCATTTTGTCGCTTACAGCAGTATGTTTTGTCCAACATTATCGTTTATCACACCTAAATGTCGTTTCGAAACAGAAAATAGCAAAAAATTGTCTCTCATAAATGTCATTGAAATACTACTATATGAATCTAATCATCATATATATAACAACGTTTCAATACCGTTTATGAAGGCCAATTTCTCGCTATTTTCTGCTTCGAAACAACGTTTAGATATGATAAAAGATAATTTTAGGCAACAGATACTTGTCTAAACTACATGGGTACTTGAAAGCGTGTATTCATGTTATACTGTTAGATACTAGATGACTTACATTTTTTTCGTTAGCACATAAGCTATTATTTAGAAAATTAATAAGCGATAGATACATATATTAATCTTATCATGTGATGCATTTACAAGAAAATAAACAACAGAGATAAGGTCCAATTGATGATCTTTTGGAACCGAAACCAGTCATAATTTATTATAAACAATCGACTGTATTGATGGTAGATCGGCTATAGATTGTCAGTCAGAAGATACTCGACCAATTAAGTGTTAAACTACTCTGCTGGTATAGTGTACATTATTTTGAACAGTGTACCGACGATTTTTGTCGCGTTTGAATTGTATGAATTCAAACCAAATCTATTTGAGATGAACATCACTTTGTATAACAAAAATAAACTTTAATTTAATACTGTATACAACTTTTTAGGATCTAAAATAAAAACGTAGATCTCTTGCGATTGATAGAATGACAAGAATACATTGATGCCATTGATGAGTATATGATAGATGCATTGAGTACTAATTGCAAATGGGAAACGTCTTTTAATCTTTCAGACAGTATATTATTAAAGAAGAGAGGATAATCGAATGATTATTTCAATTAGAATGACTATTAAATCTTTTATTTTAATATTCATATAATTTTATCAATATTGATTTTATTGTATATTGTTATTACATGAGTGTCATCAGATCAATAGAACAGATTAGTAGCATGATATTTCTAATTCTGAAACAGTATTAGTGAGAAAATGGAGAAAAAAAAAAGAATATCAACGTTTTTCATATGTTTTTAACATAGATGGATATATAAAGTATTATTTACAAGAGAATTCATTTTTAATCTATATGAAAATGATAACACGATTACGATTGATTCGTAGAGTACACTAGTTACTCTTGTATCCATGCATTGAATTAGTACTATGAACAATAGTGATGTTATTTTTCAAGATTAGTCTTTCAAATGTCACATAATATATTCTTCTCCATAATACTAATCTCATATTTATGCTTTTGTTCTTATCTAGTGGAAATATGTCGTATAAATTATTTATTTTTTGAAACCGAATGTTTCATGTATTTGAATTATTTTGATGTCAATTATCTCGTATTTAATGCTTCATTATTTCCTATTGTTTGTGATTAGTTAACATGAGTATTGATATATAAAATAAGCAATAGACGGAAAGTTTCTGACAAAATATTTCCTTGTTTTTTTTTTCTCTTATTTAAATGCATTGTTAGTACGGTAGAACCAGAATTGTGCGCCGCTTAGAGGTTTTCTATTATTTTTGATTATTGACTATAAATTTTACTGAATTCATTTGATGCCGATTTGTTTTCATTCTTTTTTTAGGGCTTTTCATGATTTACATATAAGTCAATAGTCAAAAGTTACAGAAAAACTTTGATTCTAATACACTGCCGATACATTTAAATAAGCAAAAAATAGTCAAATATTTTGTCTAGAAATTTTCAGTTTACACTTTACGTATCTTTATTCTTGACAAAAAGATATTACAAACCATAATTAATATGTCAATGTTTTTCTATACTATCAAACAATTCTTGTACTGAATAACTTGAACTATTATTAATTAAACATGTTTAGAACAGATGAAATAATACTCATACTCACCAACATGTCACGTCGACATTATAATCGATTTATATATGGGATATTGAACTTGATAGATTTAATGAAATGACGTCAGAAAAACAAGAAAGATTTGATTTCTTTGTATCATATCGATAATTCTATGATGATGAAATTGAATTTACTAATATAATTGTAACTGTAGAGACAACAGCAAACGCATTCTCATGTACTTGTTTGTCATTGCAATATAAGAAAAATAATGTCATTGTATTGGTGTTACGAGTAGGGTAGTCTTAAACAACGACAACTTACTTAAAAGAAATAAAATCTAAGTTTGCCAAAAACATTCAACATTACAAGAAATTGTTTTTTTTTTGTCGATAGAGAAGAGATTGTCTGATTGGTTTTAAGAATTCAAGGATGTTCATATTAATAATAATAAAAAAATTTTGCTTAGTTTATTTTTGAACATTTAAACAAGTAAAATATGTAATACAAATGTTCAACGATATGAAAGTTTAAATCAACTGATGGGACATATTTATAGATACATCTTCTTTATTCTTATAATGATAATCGATATCAATGACTAATAGTTTCTTCTAATATTTCCAATAGCATTATAAAAAATGATTATATTCTATTTTTAGTTTATGGTAATTTATCTAAAGCTTAAAAATTTAATACATAAAATAATATAGTTATTTAACTGTTTCAATTTATAGTTAAGAAGTCTTTGAAAATCTTTTATAACTCTGGAGTGAAACAAGCTAAAGACGTGGACTTTGTGTAGATCGAAAGAGAACATTTTTATCTACTGAATAGTCATATTACCGATGAAAATCCAATGGAAAAAATGTTTAACACATAAATCCAGATTTTAAGAAACTTTCTTTTGAAATGTAACAATATGACATCATTTGATGTATATAGAATGTTAGTGAATGAAATTGTCTACACGATAAATGAATTGCAATTTTTGGTCATTTAATAAAATATAGAATCTCGTATTAAACTATTTGTATTAGATTGTTAGTTCTTTGAAGAATGGATAAAATAAAAATATGTTCTTCATTAAAAGAATCAATTTTGAAAATCAGACAGACTTTATTTTGGACTCTCAATGTATTTTTCTTATTATCTAATTAAATGTAAAACAAAAAAACAATTGGTCATCTTGTCATATTGAATTGATGATTATTATTTCTAGTTTGATTTTAGTCCATTTTTCTTCAACATTTCATATGTTGTTAATATTTTTTCTCAACGATCTTGTGTAAATACGTAGATGAAGTAAATCTTCTTCTTTAGAGGAAAAAAAAAGAATCGAAGAATATTTATCAGCGAAAAAACTACTTCATAAAATTGTAATCGACAAATGACACTTGAAGAAATCACTTTCACTATGCATACATATTCTTCATATAATTTAAAGCAAAAAAAAAGAACTGGGCCTGACCGGGGATCGAACCCGGAACCTCTCGCACCCAAAGCGAGAATCATACCACTAGACCATCAGGCCACGGTATCTCTTTTTATATATTTTAGTTACAATCCAACCATTAACAGGTTTTATGTCTCAAAACACAAAATGATGCTAATTATTCCCACCTACATAAACGCCTGAAAAAAGATATAAATAGAACTAATAATTTATACAAATTTAGATAAGCAATATTGTGTAAGACAATTTTTCTCTTAATGATTGCAATTTTTTTGTAGTCCAAAGAATCTTCGTGCTTTTCTGTTTAGCAAAAATTATTCTAATTGTATCTTGCCATCCTTGCTGATCTCTATAGAATATACAAGACTCCGACAAACAAAAACAAAAAAAATAGTTTAATTATATTATCGTTGTTATAAAAATACTTTTTGTTTGTCATTGCACAAATAAAATATGAAAGCGTTAATAATTCTATATGAAGTGCTCGTGTTTTTTTTTTGCACTTATACTTAATTGTATTATTTTTATTTCAATGCTTTTCTCTTAGGTTACTTTTTTCTAATCTTTTTCTACAATAATCTTCTTTTTTTTTTCTGTTAAATACATCAATACTATAGACTATGACAACAAACGTATAAATAAATACATATATTTAATATATATAATATATACATATAACTATAACGTTTAAATAAGCGAACATATATATATATATAGACACACAAACTAATCTTTGAAATACATTGAATCAAAACACATTAATAATAGTGAAAAAAGCACATGACAATTTTTGCTCGATATTTTTTTCTCACTCTCATATGTGCCTGAATAATCGGAGCGAAAGCAAAAAAAAGAAATAAGATACAAGATAGAAAAAAGAAAAAAAAAATACATATTCAGGCAATGAGAAAGAAGAAAGTCCAAAAAGAAAATAATAATAATAATAATTATATATTAATATACAATACTAGGTTGGTAATAGAAATCGGGTTTTTACAACCTAATCTAGCTTTGGTATAAGTGAGAAGAAAAATAGGTGAGATCACTTGACTTTAATAATACGTTGTTGTGAACTATGCAAATCACGTTTATCAAATAATTGTTCATGTTGATCTATAACATAAGAATCAAGATTAGCTGCATTAACATTTCCTTCAGTTCCAGTTGATGGTAATGAATAAAGCACCTTCCATTTACGTTTTTTATTATGTTGTTTATTATTTGTAACACCTGATAAAGGTTGAATTATATTTGATGATTTATTATTTGATTCTAATGGTCGTTTTGATTGTGGTGATGATTTTGAAGATGATTCTTGTTGTTGTTGCTTTTTATCATGTTCATTTTCAATAACGACAAATTCTGATTCTTCATCAATCAGAATCCACGAATCACTCATTTGTTTTGGTGGAGATTTTAAAAAAATATTGTTAACAGCCATAAATAATTTTTAACAACAGATAACGAAAAAAGTAAAAAAGAAAATCTACAAAAAAAGAATGAAAATAATTTTGATTTTCTAGCAAAAAAAATGTCAAGTATAGTTTTCTTTCTAAGAAAAATCTTTAATTTACATGGTAGAAAAAAAGCAAACCTTGAATGAGGATAGACAAAAAAAAAATGAATTATTCTCAAATAAACATACTATTATATAAAGAAAGTTATAGTGACGATGATAGAATGTACCCACGCACTTTTCTCTCTCGAACAATCGATGATAGTCGATATAGAAGACGGAGGAGGAGGAGGAGAAGGAAAAAAACTCTGGACTTTATTTTCTGCTCAGCATATACATTTTGACAAACTGATGTTGTTAGCAATGGAGGAAAGAAAAAAAGAGAAAGAAAGAAAGAAAACGAACGAGAATAGAGCAGGCATGTGATCGTCGTTGTTCTGCACACGCAGATCATGTGAATGTGCATTCACGAGGTTCATGACATCATTGCCGTTGGGCAAGAGAACGAACATCTATTCGCAGCAGTGCATGTGTCTTCTTATGCGGTTACAAAAAAAAAAAAAAAAAGAACCGCGTTTTTTGCTAGAAAGAGAAAAAAAAGATTAGAGAGCTATTCGATGAGTATTGAATCTTGGATCTTAAGAAAGAAGAATTTTTATTAGATTATTGATTAATTATTTCTTTCATCTATCAATCATTGTTTTTAGTTGTATTATATTTTTAATCTTGAAAAGATTAAATAGAATTTTTTATAATACTAAAGCTTTTTCTTCATAATGTTGATTTAAGAATTATAGATTACTCGATAAGTTAATTCAGATTTAATGTACCAATCGAAAAATAATAAATACGTCATGATTAAATCATATTATAATAATAATTGATAGCGACAATTATTTGGCATAGTACATTTTTAAGAATATTTCTTTTTTTTTTTTGATGCAGACAATACAATTCAAAAATAGTTATAGCTGTATATTTAAAAAAAGACATGAAAATAGTGATGAACTCGCAAAAATCTATGGCGATTTAGGTAGAATGATTTCACAGCGGGAAAACTAATTTTCGGATAAATATGATCAATAGCACCGGTTCCATCTTTGGTGCGTGCCGGTGCTGTTGCATGAAGATCTTGGCTATTTATCATAAAAGACGGTCAATGTATGGTCTGCACAACAATGGTGGGATAATTTTGCAAACTAAATCCTAGAAGCATGTTTTTAAGATTCAAACCTATTATCTCAGTAAAAAATTATGCATAGACCATTTTCGTACATTCATAATGAAGAATTGTCGAGTCTATATGTTTTAAATTATAATTTATGGAATAAATTAGCTGAAATTAAGAATCGGAAGACAACAAATACAATATTGATAGATGACATAATATGTTCTGTTACAATAATATGAAAAAGAAAACATATGCACTCGGTGACATTGCACGATTACGTTTAATCCAAAGAAAAATAGATGCAACTATATTTGTTAAATATGATATAGATACCACTCGGTGCAAAATTTCTAGTGATATCTTTTGATAAGAAAAAAAAGATGTTTCAATTTCACCGAAAAAATCTAGGAGAAATTTTGAAAATACTAAATTAAATGATTAAAACAATAAAATTCTTAGTAACAAATCTTGAAAAACTTTGTCATCTTAATAAAAGTGAAATAAATGATTCCTTTGTATTATGAAATAATAGTTGATTGGACTTATGATCTCGAAATTCATGCTGATATTTTATGTGTGTGTATATTTGACGATTGGTCATTGATAATGACTGGGTATAACAATATCCGTCTGTATTTTATTTTTCTCGTTTTTTTTTCTTTCATCGGTCATGAACCTTATTGTTCACTTTTCTTTCTTTTTCACATTCATTGGTGTGGAATATTTGAGTTGTTTATTGTCCTATTAGACGAATAGAAGAAATTGTGATATCGTTGAAATCAACATCGATCATCATCTTATTTCAAATAGTGATTTAGAATAATCTGTAGTTTGTTTTTTATCTGAAATTCTTCGGATAATTTTTGAATGCTAAAAAACTATTTCTCAATATTTGTCACAATAAATCTAATAAGTTTCTGTTTTTAATATTAAAAATATACAAATAAAACAATTTAAGAACGTTTAAAAACCGTGAAATTTTTTCTTATAACATCAGAGTAATTCATGAAAGCTTCTTTACAGAAAATATTGATAAAAATGATTGTCTCATTGATCACTGAATCTTTCTAATTGAATTGGCATGTGAATGATAACTTGAGAAAAAAGCTTATGAATATGGATTTTATGCACATTTTTGAATATTATAGTTTGTGTTGCGGAAAAAAAATTATACTTTTTGAATTTCAGATATATGAGGTCTATTCATATCATGCCGAAAAAGGATGTAGATGTGAATAATATAAAATCGAAAAGATTTCGATTTGTAACCATTCATATTATTCTACGTTTTCGTCGTGTTTGGAAATAGAGCTTATGTTATACGTGTCTATTGATTAATAAACATAACAGAGAAATATAGATTTAAAATTAATAGTGATATCAGCGTTACTTTTATTACGAAAAAATTTATTATCATATTTTTCAAACAATGAAATTTGATAATATCATGTCACATCTTCATGCATACATCGCTGAACAATGGATGAAACCATTCAAAAGTTTGTTAACAATATTTGTAACTTCTAAAAGTATACTAAGTCTATCAAGCATGGCCATAAACGATCTTAAATCATCCTATATGTTGACGTGTTACATGACTCAGCTTTACGAAGTTCATACTCAAATATCTCGTTGAATCACTTTTTGATTCAGTGGCTTTCGTTAAACGATCGTATTTTTTCGTATCGTGTACAGAGAAACACATTCTTCATACTGGTCCATGTCATACATGAAAATACGATTGTTTCACAGCGCAAGTGGATTTCGTATTCCTCACCTTTAGATAATACTCATTCATAAATGTGAGTCCTAATGCCTGAATATCCGTTGATAGTTATGGTCGTTTGTATCATAGCGACCATATATAGGAGTTAAATACCTAGTAGACCATGATGAATGAACCTAATTGTTACAAAATTGGATCGATCTCCTAATCTTAATGATAGCAATTAGCGCTTCAGACAATATTAAAATAAGTAGGGTTTTTTTCAAGAGCACAGAACTGTCAAAGAGAAAACCTTTTAATTAATATTTTGAAATAGTGTTTCTGTCTATAGTACTTTATTTTGGATATATAGTCATAAAAGTTCGGATCTGATCGAGTATTCAGTAAGGTGAAAAACTGAATTATTTGTGTTTCACTGTTTACGGTCAATAATACAGAAAAATGCTGTTATCTGGAATCATGATCAAATCTCAATTGTAGCTTTCGTACGCTTATGACTATGTCCCCAAATTAAGTTGTAATCTTGATTTCCGAAGAGAATTATATGAGAACAATGTTTTCCTGTGACACCAATGATGATAATTGACACAAAAATTATTCAGTTATCAACCCTTCTGAACATTTCGTTAGAGCTGGATTCATGTGAATATGAGTAAAAGTACAACACTATTGAAAGATATGCCAATAAAATTACTGAAAAATCTAATATAAAATATTGAGAGGTCTTGATTTAGTTTTTTGTGTATTGAAAAAACTGAAAATTTATTTACAGGATAATATCATTATTGTGTGTAGAATTTTCTTTAATTAATTCAAAATTTTCCAATACAACTTTTATCTACAACGTTGTTTTTTTTTTCTAATAATGTCGTAAATGGACGATCAACTCAAGGAGAATTATTTACGTAATGCTAGTATAAAATCAGCTTAGATAGCTTTTGAGAAAACGATGCATTTTCAGTTAAAAGAGTTGAAAATTAGATTAAGGAAGACGATCTGGATTATACACCTACGGTAGAAATAAATTACTATCTCATAAATCTGTCTCCTTATGACTCATAAAATGATATCGAGTCAGTCTTTCGTCATCGTTTTTCGAAATTATTGCCAAAGAAAAAAATAAAGGTAGTGAAATAAGAAACACAGCAATATTCTTTTGATCCTAGTAGTTATACCGCGTGCAGCATGAAGATTGCAAAGTTTAGTATTTTTCAAATATCTCAGCTAAGATCAATTGTATAATCTTAATTCTTTTTTAAAAGATGCGGCATGAAAAGCTCTATAAAACTGTAAGAACAAATCCCTATTGGCTTGTTCTGATCGTGTCTCAAGGAGGAAAAAGCAGATTTTAAGTATGGATGGATCATTACATTTAATGACACTTAATTAAAAACATTTATTAAGTGGCTTCACTTAACACTTAATATTAAGCGATAAAGTGATTTACCTGAAGAAAATACTATTGTATGTCCTTTTTTTTATCAGAGAACATGATTTTTCTCACATGGGAAAGACTTTTTTGAGAAAAGACCGATATTATATTAAGTTTCAGCATCGGGAAATGTGATAAGTTGAGTTGTCCAGGAAATTAAGTGTAAAGTTTTGCAAATCTGACGGCAAATACAGAATTTTTGACCACCAAAGTCTTTCAGAAAACTTGATGAAAAATTGTTATCTTCGTTAGCAACTCGTTCTTGATAAAACAAAACTCATCTTCAAAACTTCGAGAAATCGATCGTAGATTTGAATTCTTCGATCACGAAAACCTTCAGTAAAACTGTATAAAAAAAATGGTTGATTGCTTAAAATGCCTTTTTTTTTCAGCGAAAAATTTAGGGAGATAGCTAGGTCAATACCAATACATGTCAAAATCAACGTTTGTCACTACCAATACCACTGAATACTAGTAGACTTCTATACCAATTCCTTAATACTGTATGGGTATTGTGACATGTCTAATGTTAAACAAAAACGAATCAAACCTAATTGTTAAGTGTCGAGCGAATTATTAATGTGTAACATAAAAGAATTGAGTATTAACTGTTGATTTCTGTTCTTCCTGATATTCAAGTATGATTAGTGCTGTTT